CCTCTGGTTTTTTCCCTAAATAATACATGGCACATATAGAATGTGGACATGGTATTCCATTGAGCTCCAATCTCCTGCGGCTGCATGTTTTGTGACCCAAATGTACCTTGTACTTGGAACCAAAACCTCCTTCTATTTCAAACTCATTAACACCATTCCAGTGTGCAATGAAGTCCAATGCTTTTTTCATGTTCACATCTAGAAGCTTAACAATCTTAGGACATAAATCCCCTGACCATTTCAACATCAAATCTCTTCTCACATGCAACCTCTTCATCAACATCAACCTAATCATCTCCAGCATGATAATGATGGGTCTAAATCGAGCCTTCAATATCATTGAGTTGAGACACTCTGACATGTTGTTTAACAACACATCACACTTGGGGTTTGTGCTGAAATGAGACTTTGTCCACTGAGAAGGTGGTCTTGCAGCCAACCAAGCATGAGCCTTGACATCTCTCTGTTTCATCTCCTCCATGGCTCTTTGAAAATCAACTACCCTCGTAGCACTTGCAGCCCTCCAAAATGTGTTTTTCAGAGCCAAACCCTTGTATTGCAAGTTAAAGTTCTTGTACAAATTCATCACACAAAATCTATGTTCACTATCAGGAAAAACATGTTCAATAGCATCTATCAAACCTTTCTGTTTGTCTGACATGACAGTCCACATGTAAGAGTTTGTGATCTCTAAATCCTCCACTAAAAGTTGAAGAAACCACAACCATGACTTGAACTTTTCTTTCTCAACAACTGCATAAGCAAAAGGATAAACTCCATTGTTGCCATCTATCTCAACAGTTGTTAGAAGTACACCACCAAATGTGGTTTTAAGGTGACATCCATCCAGAAAAATCAAAGGCCTGCAGCCTGACAAATACCCTGATTTCAAAGCCCCCCAACAGACATAAAATCTCTTAAACATTGGTTTCTCATCAACTAGCTTACACTTGATCCTAACAGAAGTTCTTGGGTTTGTTTTTTAAGTTCTTCTGTATAGTTCCACAACATTGCAAACTGATCTTCATCAATGTTCTCACCCCCTTTCAAAACCATTCTTTTGGCCCTATACAACTGTTGTGCATTAAAACACAACTTCAAGTCAACCTGTAAACTTTTCATCATTGCATCAATTGGCCATCTGGGATCATTCCAAATTTTTTCTCTATACAACTCAGCTACATACTTAGCATTTGCATGTGAAACCTTTTGGACCCTAGGACATTTATGCTTCCCTGACAAGGTTTTAATTTGAACTGAGGTTTCATTTTTCCCTTTAGAAGCATAAACTAACCAGGGACAAGACTTATGTTTGCATTTCACTTGCACTTTATCCTTATCATTGATGTTGAAATATATATCTTTCCCAAGAACAATGGCATGCTGCCTTACAGCCTTTCTAAACTGTTCACAATCAGTAAAATGCATGCCCAACTCAAACTTAGGGTTCTCCATATCTTTCAAAGGATTGAATACACAGTTACCTTTGTGAAGATATGCAGTGCTCCCAACAGTAGGTTTGAAAATACCAAAAGAGGAAGAAACATTGGAGTCACACTTTCCCCCACCCCCTCCCCATTCAACATCTTTATCAACATTCAATTCATACAAATCATCATCATTCTCAGAAAGTTCACAATCACTATCAACAAACTTTTCAGAAATTTCAGAATCTGAACCTACAGATTGTTCATCATCACTATCATCCCACTCTGAGCATAAATAATTTATTTCTTCAACATAATCATCATTACCCTCATTCTCACCAACAAACTGCAAAGGTTCATCTACAGAAGGAAGTTCTGAGGCTTGACTTTGTAAATGGTGATTTTTAATGAATTCATCAGGATCATTCACTTTTTCATGCTCCACAAAAATTCCCACAAGTCTGTTTCGATCAATGCAATTCACCATTTTAACTACATCATTATCACTTTCCAAGGTCATAATATTGGTGCAATCATTAACCTCTCTTGTTGTACAATGAAAAGCAACAATCTCTTTCATTATCCCTATTTTTTTAGCCATAAGTTCTAACTCAAGTAGGGATAAATCATCACAGTTACAATAATCTACATGTGCCACTTTGAGATCATAATAGCAGTTTATTCCCAAATCTAACATCCATCCAGAATGATAAAATCTGATTGTAAACAAGCTTTCATCATCACCTGATTTCAACATTCATTGAAAAAAACACACAAAAAAGAGAAAAAAATTCAAATTAAGCAAGAACAATAACCCTAATTCAAACCCTAGATTTTAAATTCTGCAAAAACACAACACAATAAACAATAAACAAACAATGGGGGGACAAAGGATCACATCATGGTACCAAATTAACTTATTTTACCCTGGGACAAAGGATCGAAATGGAAGCATACCGTAATTGGGACATTCTTTCCCCGGTGGGACAGATTGGTCCCCATCTCTCCGCACCTTCCAAACCATGACCGGTCACCGGAGAATCTTTGATACAGAAGACTATCTGCCTCGTGAATCTTAATCAAATGAAAAAATCTCAGAAAATGTTTGAAAGTGAAAAGGGGAAAATGTTTGATGCGATTAGGGTTAAAATGAGGGAAAATTGGGTCGATTTCATCAAATTTGGCGTTTTGTATTCAATCATTAAGTGGACAGACGATTCTACCCTCACATGTGCCGCGCACGTGCTTTCTCCGGTGCAATGAACGGCCAGAATCGTGTGTTAGGAGGTAATGTGTTAGTTTCGATTAGATTGGGAGGTAATTTGTCAACAAAAGTACTTTATATGGCAAAGTAAAAAAAAAAAAAACGCATACTTTGGGAGGTTAAAAAAAATTTTCCCTTTTAATTGTCTTGATTATTGAGGAGCAAGTAATAAGTTTTGAGAAGTGATTTCCTAAAAGATCCTAAGTGTGAAGCTTAGGCTATGTTTTCCAAAGAAAAGAAAAGAGTAAGAAATAGTTTTTAACTAAGTACCCTAAGAAGAGTTTTTAAAAGTTAAATATTTTTTAAAAAAGTTATGAAATAATAATGGAAAAAATTAGTATTTTCCTAAAGATAAGTAGAGGTTGCTTACAATCCCCATCTGACTCATCAATCAGATGGAGAGGTTGGTGAGAAAATGAAGAATTAGGGGAGGTCGAATGGTCTTAGTGAGCTTGAACCGGAATTTCAGGTCGAAGAATGAAAATCGGAGTGGGTTTAAGAATATCTTGAACATAGGAAGTCGGAGAGTTGAACAACGGTTGAGAGATCGAGCAAAAAGATGGAGGAGTCATATCTTTGATGGAAAAGCAATTGTTCTCACTGGAAGTGCCGGAATCTGGAAAAAGCAAAAAATCAAGAAATCAAAAAAGGCGATTTTTTAGGGTTTCTTGAGAGAGACAAGAAGATGAAGGAGAAGAGGTCGATTGCAAGGGGTTCAAGGTGATCACCGACAAATTGTAAGGAAAATCGAAAAGAGCAAAAATCAAGAAATTCAAACAAAAAATGCAAATTATAAGGTAAAAATACGTACTCATCTTCGGAGAAAATTCGACCGAAGTGATAGTTGGACACTCGGAAATTGAGCCGGAGTACAGAAAAGTCGCAAAGCACAAGATCGTAGAAAACTCGAAAGCAAGAGCAAAAATATAACTATAGCAGAATTTGCAAAGGTGGAAAACTGGAAAATATAGATTTCAGAAGTATTTATAGGCAGTGGAGAGGGCTCGTGGAAAGGTTGGTTGATCGAGGATTGTCCGATCAAGGCAGAAGTGAAGGGTGCAAATTTAATCAGGGCGGAGTGGAAAGAACAGGTCGACTAGGCCTTTGAATCAAATTAGGGTTTAAGGGCCTCGATGTGCCAGCTAGCCGAAAAGACAATTGGACATTCAACCGTTAGATTGCAGGCAAATCCAAGGGACAACATTGAAAAAACATTTAAGAGGCGCGTCGTGCGAGGCAACATGATTTACGGGGCTATGATGTTAGCAAGACGTGCGATTGGATGGGTCTGACAGATGTGACAGACACCAAGTCCAAATTTTGAAATTTAAAATGGAGGCTGGAGGAATAAAAGTCAGAAATGCGGGAAAGAACTAGAGAGTGTGATCGAAAATTAAAAGACGTGGTACAACAACAAAATTGGAGGACGAAAATCTACTATTGGATCGAGCTATTCAAACTCGAACAGAGTGGGGGGGACTAGATTTTATAGGATACCATACCTAAAGGAATAGACCGGTCGACCAAGCCAAGCGAGCCGCCTGATCGAGCGGAATCATACTAGGTCCGATGGTGGTCGAACATCACCGATTCAGGATTAAGAGTCTTCAACCGAGAAGACAGTATAAGAGGTGTAGGATGGTCGAGCTAGGGACCTCGGTTAGCTCGATTATAACTCGACCCGTAGGCATGGCTGGTCGACGGATCGACCAGAGAAAGCTATATTCAGCCCAAATCAATTAGAACTCTACCTCAGTAGATTTCGATCTGGTCACGCCATTGGGAGGTCTACTCACAAAGGGTCAAAGGAATCTTATGTTAATTGATACCGCACATGGGCATAGACACGTGGTACCACCTCATTGGTCCGCGTCCCATAACTGCCTCTGACACATTTTGACAGAAAAGTTGTACTATCGGGCAGCTGGGGCAGCCAACTCATCATATCCGGGCAGCCTCCTAGAAGGAAGTACCTCATTACGTTCGTATACCATGTTTTTCTTTATAAATCATCTTCTACATATACCCATTTAAGCATCAGAGATTCTTAACCAGAAAATTCCTCTGGTGTGAGAGTTTTTATAGGTCGAAGGCGTGCAGCCGGCGAGGGAGCACGTGAGCAAACCAATTCTAGTCGGTCGAGGGTCTTTACGTACCACCTTCGTCATGGACCGCGGGCGCATGACCTTCGAGATCTCGATTACGTCATCGGGCAAGATGTTATCGTTGTGCTTGATGCTCAACTTCTTTCGGTCCTTCAGCGCCTCGATGACCAGTGTTGCGGCAGACGACACGGCGGTAACCTTCGCCTAGCGGTTCTGGACCGTCAGGTTGACGATTACGCGTAGGCCCTTCATGTCCCTCACCGTCTCCTTTGTTATGTCCTTGTTGATTTTTTTCAGGGAGAGGCCGAGTGGGCCAATTCTGGGTGCGAGGTAGGACACCGCCCCGACTTCGCTGCTTGTGATGCAGACAAAAACGTCAACCACCTGAGAGGGATCAAACTTCGACGACGTTGTTAGGCGGAAATGATTAGTGTTAGGGCTGCGAGCTACGGTAGAGGGGGTGAAATCTGCATCACCTGAATGAACATATATCGCCCCAAAAAGACGTGTTTTGTATAGATCACGAAACGACGTCATTGTACACCTGGAATGACACTGTTTAGATAAAAAACGATGTGACCTCAGACAAAAAACTCACCATGTGTCAAAAAAAGAAAGCACTTCCCCTTCTTCATAGTTATGAATTACGATAAAAATCAAGGTTCTCAAAACCGGACCGGACCTGCCGGTTGGACCAGTTCAACCGGGAACCGGCAAGTACACCAGTCCAGTTTGAGCTCTAGAACTGCCGAGATACAAAACCGTTAAAAAACTGCCCGAACGAACCGGTGAAAAACCGCTTCAATCGGTAAACCAGAAGCAGTTCGGACGGCCAGCGGTCCAATTGAGATTTGCAAAAGAAGTGTCTGTAAAATCATTATGTAGTATACTTTTCTTCTTAGTGTATCCTATGTGAGACATGTTACTAGTTTATTATCAATTTGGGCTGCATCTATGGGCCTTACGTGGACCTTGGCTTTGGCATTGAGAATACACTAAAAAGTTATATCCACCAAACATATGACTCAAATTATAGTAAGATTTTATACCAAATTTAAGAATCAACGGGCTGATTACAATTAAACAATAATTTGCACCAAATTATTATTGGGAAAAGTACATATGAATCAACTGGCTGACCAAATCCTTCACTTCATATATAACAAGAATGTGCACCAAATTTTATTCTATTAGAATATATCTGTTATGGAAAAAAATGGCTAAATGACTAAATTTTATTCTATTAGTATATAATTGTTATGGAAAAAATGGCTCTGCATCTAACCGAATATTGAGGTTTCCACTATAAATGACTAAATGTTAGTATATGCTTTTAAATCCTATTACCAATTTATAAATTAGAAAGAAAATAATTATTATGCACATAATTTTTATTTTTTTTAATAAAAAAACTTAAAATCTGATTTATAAAATAAAATACAAACCTTATTGTATTTATGATTATATTTTTAACTTAAATATAGATTCAACATTTAAAATATAAAAAATAGAATCAAAAAAGTTATCACCATTACTTTCATCGGTCATCGAACTCGTGAAACTACTGGTTCAATGGTTCACTGGTCGGACCAGTGGTCGAACCGGTCTAATTAATATATAATTTTTTATTCATTTTATATATATAATATATAATTGTGTATATTTTTTTTATTAATTTTATAGTGTATAATGACATTTTTCTAAATAAGAGTTCAATAATAGATACATTTGAGAGATAAAAGTAAAATTTCATTGACAAGTTAAGTTTACCTAAACCTGTGAAACGCCGCCGTTTGGACACGTCTCGGTACTGGATAATGGTTGTTCCTCAAAAGTCATTACATATAGAGACATTCCCTTCGACAACTTCGTCATCTCGGCCTGACTCGCTCGCTTCACTTTTATCTCCACACATCTTCTACTTTCGATTATTTGTACTGAAAAAGAGGTATTTTTAGGGTTTATCCTCAACTTCGTATAATCATGGATAAATTCGCTAGGCATAGAGGCGGGGATAGATACACCAACGGCGGCGAAGAGCCTCGCCATTATAATTCAAGCGGCAGGCAGTCTCGGGACGGCGGATCTCCGTTCCGCCACCACGGGCAGGATAGCTTCCGAAACGGAGGGGGACGCAGCAGTCCTCATGATAGCCGTGATGGGTTCTCAGTCGGCGGGGGAGGCGGCCTGGCTGGTGGCGGCGGTGGGAGGGAAAATCAGAGGGCCTTTGATAGTCCTCCTCCGACCTACCCTCAACCGCTTGGTGGCGAAGGAGGCGTTGGAGGAAGGGGATTGAGGCCGATTGGTGACGGAACTGGGGGGTTTCGGCCGATGATTGGTGGACCAATTGGTGGCGGTGGTGGAAGAGGGTTCCCACCTATGGGTAGTGGTGGCAGGGGAGGATTTCGTCCAATATCTGGTGGCAGAGGTGATGAATTTCAACGGATGGGTGGCGCTAACATTGATGGTGGGGATTTCCAACCTCTTGATGGTCCCGGTGGTGATGGCAGAGGGTTTCTGTCGATGGGTGGTCCTGGCGGTGATGGTGGAGGATTTCGAGGTGGCAGTAGTGACAGTGGAGGGTTTCGACCTGTGGGTAGTGATGGTGGGAGATTTGGTTTGGATGAGTACCGCGAGCAGATGCCTCCTCTCACAGGCCAGAAGCGAGGGTACCCTTTTTCTGGAAGAGAAAGGTCTCCAGGTACCATGAGAAATTGTATTAGTAGCTCTGGCATGAAAATGTATATTTGTTTATTTTTGCATTGTTGTGCTCTGTTGATGACCAATGGTTCTTAATACTTTATATTGTCCTAGACATGGCTTTTGTATATGCCTATATGGTATACCATGGTAACTTGTAGTATCTCTGTATACTATTGAATTTCGGTAAATGTTGGATCTTTGGTTGGATGTTTGGATATCTATGGTTGTTGGTGCTCGATTTAGCCTAAAAGATAATACTTGTTACTCTTTTAATGCTTAGTAACTGGCACATGATGNTACTCGCCAATTGAGATTTTTACGGGGAGATTTAGGAGTTTTTGTTATCTCCTTTGTGCGCACTATAAGGAGGATTTAGAAGAAATGAGACTTTTGGTTTGGAATAAAAAAATGGATTCATTTCATAATGTGGGTTTACAGGAAAATTCAAAATAAGTTTTCGACTTTGAAAGTGCCTTTACATGGTTCAATGTTAAAATTTAGTAACACTGGTAAGTGATTGGGTGTGAAGTAAATAAAGCTGAAATTTAGCTGGTTTCTCCTATCACCACTTAGGGAATTCTTCAAGTTTAATTTTCTCAATCTTGATATTATTCTACTATATGTCATTGCAATTATTATGAGCTTCGAAGGACATTAAAATGCAAATGGTGGTTTTTTAGATGCAACTTCATTATATGTATGTTTTTTGTTTTAATGATGCTTTCTGAATTATTGCTCTTGTATGCCACCATTTATCTTTTTACTGTTGTCATGGTTTCAGGTAGAGAAGGAGCTAGTTTTGCCAAACTTTTTGTAGGTTCTGTTCCCAGGACAGCCACTGAAGATGATGTACGTTGGTTTTGTTGACTAAGTCTTTCCTTGACAATGTATAAATTCAAACTATCAATGATTTTCTGAGGATTTCTTTCAGCAATGGACAGTTCTGTTTCATCAACTCGAGATTCAGAGTGAATCATTTTGTAGTCTGGTTACTATATTTCAAGAGTGTTCTTACGGGAGGGAAGAAAATTTTGTTAACAAAACATCAGCTTATAGTACTGGAGGAAGAAACTTTAGTGAATAGAACTTCATCTAGTGTGACTATCATGACTTCTAATGTAATTTCGGGTTTTGCTCGCTGACTCTTATCATAAGAATTGTTGAAGTCAGGCACTACATCGATAGATTTACTTACATATATATAAATTTCATTCCATTCAATGCATTAGTTAACTGGTTAGGTTTCACAATTTCCATTGTAATTTTGTCTTGTTTTTTTACCTCAACGATTCAGGTTCGACCTCTGTTTGACAATCATGGACGTGTTTTAGAAGTTGCTCTGATAAAGGATAAGAGGACTGGACAACAACAAGGTATGTGTAAATGCTTTGTCTTGTACAATTATGATTTTGTTGTGGATCTCCTTTCAGGTTTGAGGGTCTGAAGGAAGCCACTGTACCCATATGTTTCTCGTCAGTTTTCATTTGATTTCTTTTCTGTTCATACTCCATCATCCGAGAGGAAGACGAGATCAGACAATAAAATAATCCATGAATAGTCATTGCAATGTTTCATTTGTTTCTCTTAATTTTGGAGTAGTTTTGGACATTTTTTTGTTCGTTTTTCATAATTTGTGGGAGAAATCTGTTGTTGTATGACAAGGGAGACAACAACAATGTTCTCTTTATCAATGTCTTTTGAGTTCTTTTGTTGATATTTTTCTTTTTTGGTGTCATTAGTTATTTCTCCCTCTTGGATGGGTTTATGACTTGACTCTTCATAAGCCGTTAGTCTAGGGACTTGATCGATCTCATCTTCATCTCGGTATCCACATGATGAGCTTGCACTTTTTGTATCGTGTTAGAATGTTGCTCGTAATGTCTCCTTTATTATCTGGCCGTTTACTTTTTAGGTCTATTTTATACATATATTGAATTATAGAGAATTGATTTCCTGGGAAGTACACAGACATGATTGTCAGTGTCATAGTGATGTATTTGTCACAACACTTGATTCCTCAGATGTCTACATAATGTATGACCTTCATCAATGAGTTGTGGTGTAGTTCTGAAATTTATTCTGTTGCCCTCCAACCCTGGTTCTTAATCGAAATGACATGCTTGGTCAATGATGTGGATGGAAAATGATGTGATTGTTGTGTTGCTGAAGATTTTAGTTTTGCTATTGTGCTTGCTACAATTCGATTAGTTCTGAACTAATTGGACAATTGATACAGATTAGTTTGTTCTTTCGTGAGGTGTGATTATTCTTCTCTTATGGTTTATGTGATGAGTTCTTTAGTTTATTGGTGAAATTCCTGACCATACTACTTCAATGAGACATTTACTCATTTCCATCAGACGTGTTATTTTGGTTATTGCAGTTTTATGCATTTATATCGATTAGTTCCGTTCACAGTTGGTATTGAATCAAATAGATGTATTTTGTGGATGGATTGTTGGTTTTGTTTGATTGTTATGTTGATGAGCACTATCGGGACCATGTTAAATTTGTTTATTGTAGCAACTTTTGATATTATTAGAATTTTTTACATCAGCAATCAGCACAGGTTTTGGTTTCTCTTAACAAATATTCTCTTCTTTCTTTCTTTCTTTTTTCTTACTTTTTTTNTTCTCTCCACTCCAAAACCGTGCGTTAACATGAATGTTTAGATTTGGTATGAGCTGTGGTGGTGAGACATTCTTTGTGTTGTTAGAAGCAGCTACTTCACTTTACTTCTTCACTATGGTTTGCCTTTCATCTCATGGTGCTGCGAAGTGCTTAAAGGAGGTTTTGCGTTTTCCATGGGATTGTGTGTGTATGGAGGAAATTTTGGATGAACTTTTGGCTTATGATGTGCAGCTTCTCAGTTTTCATGTTTAGCATTATCAGGCTTAGTTTGATTTTTGATCTTGCGAGTTTCTTGTGTGGTTATGCTAGCAATTCCACAGCAATTGCACGCTCTATTCTTTAAGATGCTGTAAAATTTTCATATTTAATGTGCAAACTAAATAGTTCATTGTGTGGAATGATTTTGTCTCAGTAACGAGATCATTAGTGTGATAGACCCTTCTTCAATTTGGGGGTTGAAATCTTATGGAACATGTCGTGTTATTCTACATTTAATTTTACCTTTTTTATGAATTTAGCAATGTGGTGATGGTGAATTTTGGTGGTGTGATCCGTATGGTTTGTAAGCCTAAGGTTACTAGCCTTATTTTACATTTTGTTTGTCAGTTTCAAGAATTGCCTTTATATTGTTCTTGTTTGTTTTCTCCTTGTGGAGCATAGGAACGTGTTTGGTGAATCTTAATTTGTAGGTAATTTTCCTTTGCATTTACTCTATAACAAACTCAATTGGTGAATTGGTTTCTTTATTTATCAGATTTTTGCTATGATTGTGATTCTTGGAGTTTCTGAGTGGTGAATGTATTAAGTAGGTTTTTGCTATGGCTTATGCTCTTCAAAGTTCACTTCGAATCCAACTAATTATTGTTTGGCTATTTTATTTACTCTAAAATTGTTTGATGCTCTTATTGGTTTACATGATTTGTGTTGGTTTTGTTAAGGAGTACGATGGTAACTATATTAATTGATTTGATTACTTCATTTTTGTTGGATTTATGGTGTTTGTCTTATTTTTACACTAATCGATGTGACATATTAGTGAGTTGTCTTGTGTTGCATGTATTGGTTTATGATATACCAACTTATACAGATCATCCTTGGACTTTAAGAATGAGTTTGCCTGTAACATCTATATACAAGCGTAAAATAAGTGAGAGATCCCATCTTAGTTTGGAACTTTGGTGAGACTGTTTCACGTGTTCTGACATTGATGGTGGTCATTTATTATTGATGCTAATTTACTACCGAAACATTAGTTGTCAGAGACTGAAGTTAGCTACTTGCTAATTTGCCATGATTTGCATCGACATTTCACTGATATGTAGACTTGATTATGCTTTAATATTAGTGTTCTTTGCTCATCTATTGCTTCAATATTTGATGCTTGTATCTTGATTTTGTATGCTAATTGTTCTTAATCTTTAAGTTGGATTTGTATCCCTTTTCTAGTGATGAACTGGCTGCGCACAAAGTTATCTCATTATGATTGTTGTATTGTAGAATGTTGACATTTTGATGGCCATTTCTTGGTCTCTGGCTAGGAATGATGGTAGTATTGGCTGCGGAAGTGTGTGTTATTTGTTTTCAATGCTGATTTTGGGTGTCTAATGTGGGTTTTGTATGCCGTGTTGTCTCAATCCATTTTATGTATCCATTATGTATCAATGTATGATAGTGATGTTGGCAAAGAATGTTAGGGCATGCTACATTAATTTGTGCAGAGCTTTTGGAGAAGAGGAGTTTGTTGTGTTGTATCAGGATATATGTATTGATGGAGAAATGCATCAAGCTGCATGAACTAGTGCTTTGTTGGTGATTGAGGAAGGTTTTGGGGGAGTGGCACGAAGTGAACATATTATTATTATTATTTATTATTATTATTTTATTTTGTAAATTTTCAATTGCGCTTTAGTCATTGCCCAAAGATTATATTGTTGTTTACTTTTATTTTATTTTGTAAATTTTCAATTGCGCTTTAGTCATTGCCCATTGTTGTTGTTGTTGTTGTTGTTGTTGTTGTTGTTGTTGTTGTTGTTGTTTACTTTTATTTTATTTTGTAAATTTTCAATTGCGCTTTAGTCATTGCCCAAAGATTATATTGTTCGCGAGTGAGGATTGAATACCTTGACAAAAGCTGGCTTTCAATTTTGCCTACGCAGGTTGCTGTTTCATTAAGTATGCTACTTCGGAAGAGGCTGATAGAGCCATTAGAGCTCTGCATAATCAATATACATTACCTGGGGTATATCTTCTGCTTGTTTTCCTTACATTGATGACTCATAACTTGGGCTCTTATATTTCTTATTTCATTTATGTGCTACACAGGCAATGGGTCCTATTCAAGTCAGATATGCTGATGGAGAGCGAGAACGCCTTGGTACGTTTGTTGATTTCTGTTCTGTAGAAATTTCGGCACTCATATTTTGTTTGTGATTTCATTCTTGGTACTAGTTGGAGTAGTTGTGGAGGTCAAATTTTATTTATTTACTATTTGGAGAATTAGCAGCCTGTTTATTTTATTTTATTTATTTATTTACTGGTCATATGGCCGTATTGCAGGTGCAACGGAGTTCAAGTTGTTTGTTGGGTCATTGAACAGACAAGCTACCGAGAAGGAAGTTGAAGAAGTATGTTATGCTGCTGAAATATATCTTTTTGTCTTCTCTGTTTAAATTAAAACTAACCCTGTACAGTGCTATATTACTTCTTCTCCATATGCCTGTATGAGATTTGTTGTAAGAGTCATCCTGTTTAAAATGCATATTCCATCTTCTATATTTTTCCCTTTCCATAGAGCCTGCTGAGGCTGGGAATCTATGGCCGTGCATATAGCTTATGATCCTACTTTGGAATTTATTTTTTCTGGAAGCTATAATTTTGTGAATTTATTGTCATATTACTTGTTTATATTTACATTTTTTGGTTTAGCTAAGTGTTCTGAAGGAACAGTCTTAATGATCGGGATTAATGGTTTACCTTTTGCAGATTTTCTCACCTTATGGTAGAGTTGAAGATGTTTATCTGATGCGAGATGAAATGAAGCAGAGCCGTGGTATGTACCTTTGTGCTTGCTAGTCTCAGCTATTGACTAATTATATGATAGTTTACAACCTATGGCTATCTATGGGATCTTTTACCATCTGGATGTGGCTAGTACATGATTTTAGTATAAGAATGAATTCCTCATCGTGTGATGTGTGGGATATATTACCTATACATGCGACATTTCAGATTTGAATCCTCTCCGTTCTTGTTTCGTCTCCCTACTCATGATAAATTTGTTTGAAGGATGTGGATTTGTGAAATATTCTCAGAGAGAGATGGCACAGGCAGCTATTAATGCGCTTAATGGGACATTCACCATGAGAGTAAGCTCGTTTCATCTGCATTCAATTAGCCTCATAGACAATTGGTATATCATATGATTTTTTCAATTGCAGGGCTGTGACCAGCCTTTAACTGTTAGATTTGCTGATCCTAAGAGACCTAGACCTGGAGATTTCAGGTCGCTTTTGCACAAATTACAATATCTTTTTTTTTTTTTTCATGTGTAAATTTATTTTTAGTTTCCTTTCTTTTTAAATTTTCTGCTTTTCTTTTTTAGTGGAGTCACATCCATGGTTTTGAAAAATATTTATGGCTGGCAATAAGAACACTTTATTTCACCTTTAGGCATTGTTAATCTAGATAGCATTATTCTCGTTTTGTGCTCGAAGTGGGAAAGCTTATGCTGTCTCCCCCTTTCCCAATCCAGAGTATATTATAGGTTTGATACATTTATATTTATAATTAATTATATTTAAATTTCATTTCCAGAAGTGGTCCTTCTTTCGGTGGACCTGCTTTTGGCCCTCGTTTTCCGTCCCCTGCAATCAGGTATCTCACCGTTATCTCCTCTGATTAACTTCTTATTACCAGTTCTACTTCTTGCTTTTTATCTTTCGAATATTTGATGTTCCTTTTTTTTCTTTTCCTTCTTTTGTAACTTCTTTAGGCCTCCACTGGACCATGGTACACCACTTCGCGGTCCCATTCCTTCTAACTGGCCTTCAGTGACCCCGCAAAGCCTAGGGCCACCTGCTCATATTGGAAACCAAATTCCTGCTAGATCTGGTGATATGGGTGTCTCTTCTAACCCTGTAAGATAATAATGAGCTCTTTTCTGTTTATCATTTTACATCGTGAAGAGTATTAAAATTTAAAACATGCGTACATCTTTTCTTTTATATTCAATATTATTTCTCATGTTTTCTTGCCCTTTTTCCCAGGGTCCTTTGGGAAACCTTCCGGGCAAGGCAGATGGTTCTCTTCCTGGACCTACTGTAAGTAGAATTAATTTACTCGATGGTTTATGTAGTTTCTAAGGCCTCATTCCCTTTTCTTGAATTTCGCTGAACAAATTTGAACTTGTACCTGCTACAAATTCCACTGCCTTATTAAAAAAGTGTAAATAAATAAAAATCTTTCTCCTTGTACAGAGACCTCCTCTCCAGTCACAACAGAATATGCCGCCATCCGCACAAGTACAGCCTTTAAATTCAGGCTCTTTTTCGAGCCTTCAAAGTGTACAGGGACCATACATGCAACCTGGACAAGTGCAAACCCCTCAGCAGCTGCCTGGGCAAAATGGTCAATTCTCTGTTCTCCCGACACAAGGGCCGCAGGGTAATGCACAGAAGCTTCAGTCTCCATCTCATTTGGCTCAGATGCTTTCGCAACAGAAACATAATCTGCAAGCCACGTTTGAGTCATCACAACAAGCCTTCAATCAGCTACAACAACAGGTTCAGCAACTACAACCAACGAACCAGAATTTAGCAGCTCATCAGGTACCCCGATTGTTTTGTAGTTTGTTAGTACACATAATCAAGATGGCTATTTCGGTGTCCCATACAGAATAGAATTAAGAATTTCCAGATCATTTTTTTTTTTCTTTCTGAGCTGGTTATTTTTGTTTATTCTGCAATTTCCATTGGTCCAATTTTTTAACAAAATTCAGTGTTTTTATGATGAAGATTTTTTTTTCCTTACATTAAATGTTTTTGAAAGTTTCAACTGTACTGTGTCGTGTTCCCACCAATTATTTGATTCTCTGGTTGATGGAGATGGAAAGATGAATGAAGTCTAGTGTAGAATATTTGGTGCTTGCTTTTTGGCGATGCTGATTGGTTGATTCTCTTAAATGCTAATGATTAGCCTAAGTATGATAAGATGTGTACTTTAATAATTTAGGCTAGTGTATGTATTCCTATAAACTATTTGGTGTAGTAACCCTCTCTCTGTCTTCTTAGATTCCTTGGTCTCAGCCAGTTGGAAACACCTCAGCTGGAAATGTAACTGCAACAACACCTGCCTCTGCTACTAACTCAGCCATCCCCACTGTTAGTTGTAAGTGGACAGAGCATACGTCTCCTGATGGATACAAGTACTACTATAACAGCCTCACTGGTGAAAGCAAGGTAACATCGTGTCATCTGCATATCACTATAAAATGCGTTATTTCAGAAAAATAAATAAATAATTAAAAAAAACGGTATGCCATTCTTCTTGTTGACTGGTTATTGCAGTGGGAAAAGCCTGAAGAGCTGATACTGTATGAGCAGCAGCCGCAACAGAAGCCGTCTAACCAACACCCACAGGTACAGACCCATCAGATGCAAGTACAGCTTCAAGGTCAATACGGGCAGCTTCAGAACCATCCCAAGCCCTTACAGCAGTCTACTCAAACCTCGGTCAGTTTTTATATATGTGTGTCTTTGATTTTTTTTATTTTTTTTATTCTTTTAGTGGNCCAGGTTACTGGGTTTTCAGCCTCACAGAGCAGTAAGGTACAAGTACCAAGTAGCTGCAAGCTTTTTCTGGTTGTTTGACAAAACTGTTTGCTTGGACGTTCTTGTTTGTTATGTATATATTTAGTATTCATTCAGATTAAGATAGTTGCATTTTGTTTAGGTGCTTATGAAACATGATGGATTCACAGGCAACTTTATTTTATTAAAACGAAATGTGCATTTCTTAGTAGCATAGACCTTTGTTTCCGGAACCATTCTCGGGATGTAAACTTCTAGTCTGGTGGTATTTTCTGTGGCGGACTTTCGTTGATTGTCATGTTTGGGAAGAGTTAACATCATTGCTTTTCCCAATGTAGACATAGGTGTTTTGAGTTATAAGATCAATAATACGAGAAACTTGTCACCACTGTTGACTATTGTAGATTTTGATGCCTAATTTTGTTGTACTAAATGCGATTCTTTACTGTTTGACTTGTGGGGGAATCAGGAACATGGCTATGGACAAATACCGGTAGAGACAGTTCAAGTAACTAACCCCACACGAAACCAGCAGGTTAGAATTGCATAACTCATTTCATCTATATCATAATTGAGTTCCTTATGGAGTAATCTGCTTAATGTGGCACAGGGTATTCAGGAGTCACAGGAATGGATGTGGAAGAATAATAACTGAGGTTTCTGCTTCTGTGGTGCTCTTGGTTATATACATCAAATAAATTTTAATTCTTGTGCGAACATTAGATGGAATTATATAAAAAGCTACGCAAATAACTTTATTCTAGTTACAGAGGTATCTTGTTGTATCCATCAAAATTACAAGTATCACCTTATAGCGTTACAATTACAACTGCCTCGTTGAGGTTTGTGTTGCTGCTTAGAGAGAACCCAACAGCAAAGAGGATATTGTAGTGTTTAAGCTAGACCTCACGAGTTGTTTCTGTGTTTATATTTAAATCCAGTATTCTTGCTTTGCATCTCTTGTTTGATTTGGCAATTTTGGAAGAGTAATTTGAAGTTGGAAAAATTCCTGCAACGTTCATATTCAGATGGAAAATTTCCTTCCCCTTTTTTTGTTTTGCTTTTGCCTTTGTCTGAAAGCATGCTCGTTGAAACTGGTCAGATAAGTGCCTGATGCAATTACAAGACTTACATTTTTGGACAAGAGGAAACAGTCTTTGGGAGGAAAGAGAAACAAGTGAACAAATCCCTTTTTGGCACTCTTCTCGTTGTTGGGTAACTTGATTCTAAGGTGGCCTAGCCAGTTACATGATTAAAATGTCTTAGAAAAGTCGAAGCTTATTCTGAGAATTCCATGAAAGGGTGTTGTAATAATGTGTAATAATTGTCGTTAGGTTCTGGATTTACTTGTCTGAGAGTAGCCATTAGAGATTATTAACAAGCTTTAGCAGCTGTGGTGTGTGTATGAGAAAACCGACTTTTGAGCATTTCATAGGATTTAAGCTTTTCCAGGTAGCACCTTTTGGTGTAAACTCTGATGATAGAGCATGTTGTATTTTTGTATACAATACGACTATTCATGGTCCGGTGTTTCTTTATTGTTACTTTTTAAATTAAATTAAATCAGGACAAAGGGAGCAAGACAATTGTGAACAGTGAACTTTACTTTTTCTGCGCCGGGTTTTGAATATGTTTAAACTAATCAAAGAGTATCACTAATTTACCATAACGTGTTTTTAATATGTTTCCATTCAATAACATTTACATGCAACAAGACAATAATCTTTCCCAATTTCCCCATAAGTACACATTCATTCATTGTACATGTATTAAGTAAAATAGAAGTGTTCGTCTGAAATCGATTTTGCAGAATGCAAAAAAGCTACTGTTCTAAGACCTTATCGCTTGGTCCCTTTATGCATTTAGGTAATGGGCCTGCAAATAAATTACACACATAAGAAAGAAGTTCTGGGGAAAAAAAAAAAATAGCTAGCTAGCTAGTACTATCTGATTTTGCTTATTAGTGACGATGGGTAGAAAAATCATTGTCTTCCCTGGTTGTATTTCAGAATAAGGTTGGGCTAGCTTGTATTTAGATTAGTCAATGCAATAATAAGGGCACATGGAGAGAGAGAGAGAGAGAGAGAGAGAGGCTATTATCTATATCTATCTACCATCTTTATATAAGTGAAACGAAATAAATATAGGTTCGGTGAAAAACCCTAGTTTTGTCCCTGCCCACTCAATCTCTCTTCTTTAAAAGCACTTCCCCTCCTTCCCTTCACTCGCCGGCTTCCGCCGCCGCCATTCCCCTGCCAATCGTCTCTGACCGGGATCGAGGTGGAGCTTTTTGTTGCACCACCTACTGCCTCCATGGGAGAGGAAAACGTCGTTGCGCCGCTCTCTCTCCAGCAAGGGTGTGGGCTGCCCTGTAGCTCTGCATTCTTCCTCGTCCCAGTCAGTTGGCGTCTGCCTTGCTAATATTCTCTGATTTTGCAGGTAGGCGGCGGATGGTTATTCCCGGGTGTAGCACTCATATCACTTGGTAATTGATCCTCCCGGGTGCTTAGGTTCGGTTTCTTTCGGTGTGGTGGTCCAGGTTGTACCCTGTGTGCTCTCTTCTTCCCGATCAACGACTTCGGGATCTCAGATGTGGACTAAGGCTCGCCTGCTTTCCGATGCTAACACTACAAGAAAATGATGAAATTCAAACCGAAATATATTCAAATAGAATTCCAACGGCAATTCCAATAGATATTTCAATGCTATTATTTCCATTAGAATTATTCCAACAAAAATTCCTACAAAAATATTCCGTTGGAATGAGTTATCCATTGGAATTTCCGTTGGATTTTGACAATTCCAACCGTGGTGGAAATAAAAATTCGAACAGAAATTGCATATTCCAACCAAAATTCCTACGGTGAAAAGTCGTTGGAAATATAACCGTTGGAACATCAAATTTCATTTAAAATTCTAATGAAAAAGGAACATTTTCATTGGAATTTCCGTTGTAATCATTCCAACGAAAGCTATACCATTGGATTATCCGTTGGAATTTCCATTGGAATATATTACCATAGGATTTTCCGTTGGAATACAATATTTTTTTTGTAGTGTAACTAGCTCTTCGGTGGAGTTTTTAGTTTCGGAGTTTGTATCTGTAGCTCTTTTTGTTCTGATCGTGGGTTGCTTTGTTTTTAGTGTGGCTTGTGCGCTATGCTATGGTTTGGGCGCGGGTTGCCTGTGTTGTGTAGGGGAAGTATTGTCTATTTTAGCTAGGGGTGTGTTTAATAAGTTTTCTTTTTTCTTTTTTTTTTTTTGGANCTAGTTGGAGTAGTAGATAGCCCCTTGTGGGTATTTATGTTTTTCGAGTGGGAGTAGGCGTACAGCTAACGGTTTCAGGCAAGAGGATATGGAAGCTTACTCCACCTAAGGACCTAGTGTACTTCCTCCTCCTCCCTGTTACTCAATCCTCTGTTTGCAGTACTTGAATTCTAACCAGTCACCTTGTGCTGCTTGCAAAATAGTAAAGTCTGGGAGCCAGATTGATTGAAATCTCCAGAGATTTCGAGCCTTCCACAACCACCATAAAATATAGGTTGTGAGCTCAATCCTGAATTCAGAGACCTCTTTTTTGTCCACTGAGCAAACATGACTCCACCAATGCTTGAAGGCAATGATGCCCTCTTCTGTAGTCCATTGTACAGGAGCAAGTTTCCATATCCTCTTTATTAGACCTACAAGATACTTCTCAAAATAAAGAGAATAAGAAAAGTTGACCCACACATATATGAACAGGTAAAACCTATGAACCATTCTCACTTGGCAATTTCAACTGAATAACATATGGCTAATTGCCCAATTTTATTATTTTATTTAGATATCTTCATAATTATCCAATACTTGACACCTCTTAATTAACATATAATTGTTGCTTTATATACCTTCTATATAATCCTCAAAGTGGGAATAGTGGGATGCACTTAAATCATTACCTCAAGCAAGCTAGCTAATAGTAATAGAGGTTGGTTCAAATAAAAACTAGTCTTGGTGTGAGAATCGTATTTGGTGCTATTTTTCATTGTGTATGATGCTATTTTAAATATCACATGGTACTATCATTTTCACAAATGTTAATTTAAATTATGTTGCTATTTTTAATAACATACATTCATGTTAAAAATAGTACTAAAACACAATCAATCATAGCACTACATACAATTAAAAATAGCGGTTATCACAGTTCTCACGCCAAAACTTGGTTCTCATTTGAACCACATCCNTTTCACAGGATCTCCCATTGCCTGTTATAGATTGTTTAATCAAAAAACAAATGAGAAAAAAAAAATTATGGTAGCACCAAACTACTATAAATATGCTCTTGCACCAAACTACTATATATATATATATATGAATTGGTTCCAATGCATCCACTTATTTAAAGTAAGGCTGACATTTTTGGACCGAAAACCGAAAACCGAACCGAACCGTACCGAACCGACGAGAAAAAAAACCGAACCGAAACTGACTCACTTTAAACGGTAACCGATTATCGGTTACCGATATGTTATCGGTACGGTATCGGTTTCGAAACCATAGAGGTTCGGTTTAACCGAACCGAACCGATAAGGAATTTAAAAAAAATAAAAATTCATAATGTTAATAGTTAATAACTTAATACTAATATTAATAACTTAATAATTAATAATTAATAATTTAAGACTAATAACTAATAAATAATAACTTATGTTATATAGCTTGTGCATGCATAACAAAGCAAGCAACTTGTTGATATCAAGATAGAATATCTTGATGTTATGATATAATTAAAGAAATCGCGAAGATTAATGCATAAACTGGATTCTGGACGACGTCAAGCAGTACATGTTGCATCTCGGTAATCTCACCTCGGTACCCGTAAATGATACCGCAGAATTTTTGGAAGTCATCAACACAAGTCGTCTGAACCTTGGAAAAGGCCAATTCGGCCAAAGAATTATTTATTAAGAAGTCGTAGAATATTGAAGATCTATCTAAATACCGACTTCGCAAGACGAACCGAACTCATTCCGACAGATGTGACACTCGTCACACAGATAGAGGCGCGCCCATGCTAATCATTGCCTAAAAAGTTCTTCTACGTCATCGCCGCCCCTAAGATGTCAAATCTTCATTAAAACGGGAATGATTTGTCTAGGGATGTGTGCCAGACATACCTATAAATAGCAGTTCTGAAAACGAGAGAAGGGTTCGAAAAAAGATCATACACACTCATATATTCAACTCGGCAATCTCACTGTAAACCGACTTGAAAAACATAAAAAAACCGACCTCACTGTACTGAAACCCCCTTCAAAATATTCAATAAAAATCTCATTTTCCGCGATCTTTTGTGTTAATTATACATTGTTAACGTTGATTAAATCCGTTTATCAACATTTTGGCGCTAGAAGAAGGGCTCCATAAGATATTTGGAGTTAATTTTCGAAATATACACACCACATCTCATAAAATCGAGAATGTCACAGTCCGGACAAGATAATCCAACAACCATGGGAAGCGCCGTTCGTGTTGTTGAACCACCAACCGGTCAACATAATCCAGTACCTGTGATGCTGGACATTACCCTGCTCATGCAGAACCCTGAATTCGCTCGTGGACTCACTGCTTTGGTGGCCCAAACCATGCCGGGGCCATCACACAGAGCACCAGGACAACCTTTTGCTCCTATAACTCCGGCGAGACAACAAGGTCCTCCCCTACCAAGGGATAACAATAATCAAGCGGCGTCCCATGCCACTTCACAACCACGCAATCCACCCCCTCCGCCAGTGAACAACGTACTGCCGGCGGAAATGAACCAACCGGAAATGAATCAACCAGAAATGGTTGCTGAAAGTAACCCTCGGCATGCTGAAAGTTACCCTCAGCATGTGCCCAGAATTCCCCACGCGGCACGTTCTTTATTTCGACAAAACGAAAATCCGGCTGACCTGAGAACGCAGATTGAGCGTAATCGTTGCGCTCGACGTAATGCTTCCGAGGTCGAGGCGTTAAGGAGAAAGGTGGCAGAGTTGGAAGCCCGACAAACCACTCAAATCAGGCCTTATCAGTATCCTCACGTGCCAGAATCGGGCCATGTCTATATGGAAGTCGGTTCTCCCCTAGCAACCGAGTTGACCAGAGGTCCGTTACCGGGAAAAGTCAAAGTCCCCCAAATTGGCCTCTATGACGGAAACGCTGATCCTGATGCCCATCTTGGACATTATACGTCATGGATGGATTTGCATGGTGCTGACGATGCTTTACGATGTCGTATGTTTTCCTTGACTTTAGGTCCTAAAGCTCAGAAGTGGTACTATTCACTACCGACTGAATCGATCAGATGTTGGGGTCAACTCAGGTCGGCTTTCAGGTCCCATTTCATCGGGGCTCAAATTAGCTTGATACCTAAGGAATCGATCACGAACATAGTCCAAAAGGAGGATGAAAGTTTAAAGGATTATATTGCACGTTTTAATGAACGTGTGCAAAACATGGAACCTTGTCATCCAGAGACACTCCTTGTCTCAGCAATCTCTGGATTAAAGCCAAGATCCATGTTTCGCTGGGCGCTATGCCAGAACAAATCCAACACCTTTCAAGAATTCCTTGTTCGCGCTCAACAACATGTTATTGCCGAGGAGTCCATGTCGGTTCCGAACTTCGATTTCTCCCTATCAAAAGAACAGAAGCCGACTTTCGAAAACAAGAAGAAGAAGCACCTCGGCAACTCGTCTAAGAATTTACCTTTCAAGGAACCGTATAAAGGAGAACAGAACGATACCGACATAAAAGCTGCCAGGAAACAATACAAGGAAGATCTAACCACAGGGTACCGATCCATCTACTCGGTCGGTGCCGCAACGGTGTATCAAGAGATCAAGGGAAAAGGAATCCTTCCTGAAGCCAGACCAGTCAAGACTCCCGAAAGTCAATTGGACAAGTCGCGGTATTGTGATTATCACCGATCTCCAGGTCACAACACCGACGAATGTCTAAGTCTATTGTCGGCTCTCCTGAAGTTGATTGGAAATCCACAAGTGAGAAAATTTACCAAACATGAAGGTAAAGAAAGGAGGCAAATAGCTCATGTTCCTGACCGAGATGAAGAAGACGAAGACGCAATGTCCAAAAGAATTCGTCTACAACAAGGAGAAAAGGAGATATTCATGTTCGGGGCAGAAGGATCCAGGTCGGTTGACGACCGACTCGGAAAAAGAAACAGGGACTTCGATAGTCCCAACTCTAACCGTACTCTTCAAATCCCAATTCGGTTAGGCTCTATCCCCCGAGTTAACACCAACCGAGAAGAGCCAACGTCCTCACGTCGGCAGGCCAAAGCATATGCCAGAAGGGCATACAACTCGGGAAAACAAATAATGAATACCGACCTTCGGGAAACAATTAACTCGCGCACTTGCCCGATCACTTTCACATTAGAAGATGCGAGCTTGTTTGATCATCCTCATTCGGATGCATTAATCATAACCGCCCCAGTTTGCGGGATTCCCGTTCATCGTATAATGGTGGACACCGGTGCATATTCGAGTATCATTATGCTTCAAGCCTTTAGGAAACTTGGACTGGATACAGCCGACGTCCGTCCAAGTAACGATAAAATACACGGATTCAACGGAAGCGTGTCTCTTCCGTTAGGAGAAATCACCCTCCCCATCAGGTTCGGATATGGGCAGACTTCCAAGGTCATCATGGAAAATTTCAAAATTATGGACATCAACAACGAATAGAATGCCATCATCGGAAGGACAGCCCTGTACAAATTGCGACCATATTTTCAAGAGCATCCTGTTACTGTGCTAACTGCATTCCCGTTACGACAAATTCTTCACCGACCTGACACGTCAGGCCGAATGGTCAAATGGGCCGTGGAATTAGGCCAATTCGACATTCATTACAAGCCAAGAACTGCTGTTAAAGGACAAGTTCTGTCCGACTTCATTGCTGAGTTCACGCCAGGAATCCAGGAAATTACTAACACCAATCCCTGGACATTATACGTCGATGGATCGTCAAATGCGAACCGAGCAGGAGGAGGGATCGTTCTAATTGATCCCAATCAACGAGTTTTTTGCCATTCAATTCAATTCCTCTTTCCCGCTACCAACAACGAAGCTGAATACGAAGCATTGTTGTCGGGATTGAATCTGGCAGAAGCTATGAACATAACACACGTCAATATCTTTTCAGACTCTCAGTTGTTGGTCAATCAAATACTTGGAATCTTTGAAGTCAAAGAACCCCGCTTAATGCCATATCTAGCTCTGGTCATGAAGAAGTTATCCAAATTCCAATTCAAGATTGAACACATTCCGCGAACTTCTAACGTTCAAGCTGATGCTTTATCACACCTCGCTTCATGTGCGCAAATAGAAGACGTGGAGTATGTTCAAGTCGGTACTCAAGAACTCCCTTC